GTTTTTCAGTGTGTTCAAGCTTGTTACTTGCCATGAGGCCAGAGTGGTGACTTTCCAAGCTCCTTACGTGCAGAAGAGGGAAACAGGAAGTTACTACATTGAAGCTCAAACCTGCTCTTTCGGCTTCTTACCACTAGGTTTACTGAGACATTTATATCATAGTATCTACAAGTAGACACTGAGCACAGAAAACATGGACTTCATGCGGGGAGCCCAGGAGAAGTTAAACTGGAGGATATTGGTACAGTTTGATTGGTTCCATAACCTCACCTTCCAAGTCCAGATTCTCATCATATGTGGTGCTTCTTTCAGATCTAATTCCTGTGTCCCCTTGATGAAAATGGAAATGATAATACTGTCTGGAAACCTGAACTGTTAAAAAAAAAAAAATGCTCCATTGGGGCTTTTAGCTTGGTGGTGGTGTCCGAAAAGGAGTTTAAACTTGGACACGAAAGGAGTCATTGGTGTTCTCTGTTCTTAGAGAGTGAAATACAAAGCAGTTTAGGAAATACCTACAGGTTGGGGTTCTCAGAAATCTACAAGTTTTACCGCGGTTTCAGACTGCCTTAAACCCAGCTACCTACGCAGCCTGCAAGGCTCAGCACACAGTCTCTTGTCATCTCCCTCTCGTCTCTGCAGCCTGGACCGCAGGATTCGGGATGCAGGTGACGGGAAGGTGCCTCATACAGTTGACAGAGTTGTTGGGCACCCTCGTTCTAAGCACATCACACACCTTGTTTGACATGTTTACTTTTTACACACCCGGAGAATTAGCAGGTGCTTGCATGACTGCGTTGTTTGTTTTAACAGGCTAAAAAGTGGGAGGTAGGTTAGACCCACATGATGATGCAATAGGAAAGTATCTAATTATTCCATTTTTGGCTCAGCATTCAGTTTCAGTTAAAAGTGCTGATAGCAAGGCTCAACAAGTCCTGTAGCCTAGTACCCTTAGCATTGTCTGCCTGTGAGAAACCGGCTTGCTACCAAGCATGGCCGTGCGTTAGCCACTTGCGCGTAAGATCTTCCATGTGGCTAGAATTTAGCAAAAGATCTCAGAGTTCCTGTAATGAGGCGTTACAGTGTGGACGCAGAAGGCTCTAAAAGCCCCATATCTATTTCCGCACGCTCAACGAGCCAACTTGGAAAATTGTGTCTGCACATAGACTGTTCACAAGTAAAATCCTGAGAGCCAGACAGGTCATGGTTGTTTGGACTGGTATATTCATCCTGACGTGTCAGGGTGTAGGTTATGATTGGTCCTTGAACTGTCTTCATCGAGTGGAAGGAGCAAGGTTCAGGGTCCGGGAACTATCGCTACAAGTAGACGTGGTCCAAGGCAGAGATTCGAGATCTGGGGTGACTAACTGTTTCTGTAAAGGGCCAGATAGTAAATACTTGAGGATTTATGGGCCATGTGATCTCTGCTGTAACCACTCAACTCTGCTCTCGCAGCGTGCAAACGGTCATAGATGATACGTAAACAGAAGCATCTGGCTGCGTCTTGGTAAAATTTTGCTTACAAAAGCAGGTGGTGGACTGGGTTGGCCCATGGGCCATCATTTATCAGCTCCTGTCCTGGATCCCAGAACGTACACCACTGGGCTATATGATCCTGACCTCATAGGAAAAGTAGTGGTAGTTTTCAGTTAACTGAACCAATACATATAAACTTTCAGTACTCATAGCCAAGACTTCACTGTATTTGTATATAATGAATTTGTTGTCAGAAAGAAAAGCATTTTTCCTCACTGGCTGCTTTGGGTGCTAATCCGAATTGTTATTTACTTGTCATTTATACCCCACTTCCTTCCCAGAATAATTTGAGGTAAAGGCATGTATAGATTTTAGCTGTCAAAATAGAGATATAAAACCAAAACCACATGAAAAGGTCACACAAAACAACCTCTGAATATTCCATTTCCACCGGCCAACCCAAGCTAGTCGTAGCTCAGCCATTTGAGGACTGAACAGTCTTTTGGACACCTCCTAAATTGAACATTGATACGCTCCATATTTTATCTTTCCTAGCATCGTTTCCTTTCTGAAAAAAATGTCCCTCCACGTTTTATAGTGAATCTTGTACCAAAGGAAATGTTAGTATCCGTCATTTTTCTTCTGATTGAAGCACAAGCCAAGAACTGTTACACAACTGAGTGGGTCCATGGAAAGGACAGAGAAAATGAGAAGCTAAGGAAAACCTTGGTGGGCAAGCTACCTGTACAATACAGATTTAGGGCTCTTCTAGAGCCAAGGGACTATTTCCAATCAGTTAGAGGCTCATCCTTGCTCTCCATGGAAAAGGAGTGTTGAATTACTTTAGGGTTTAGTGGTCGGAGGCCCTCTTACGAGGTGAACAGAGGAGTGAGGGTTTGGGCTGGCGACAGGGAGGGATGACTTTTAGCAGGTGTCAGAACGTAGAAACAAAGCCGAGTGACTTGAAGGACTGGCAAGTGGGATTGTGTCCCCAAAGACAGTGCGGAAATAGGAAAGCTGGTCTATAGGAGTGCAGTGAGTGTGTACAAATGACTCTAATGCAAGATCCTGGTTAATAGCAGATTCAACTCCTTAGCCAAGTGGCTGCAGAAGGTCATGTACGACCCAGGCCAGAAGGTCTGCTTACGTCACTGGCATAGGAAGGTGTGACAGACGTGCTCACGCAGACCCTGGAGTTGGAGGAAATCGGGAAGTACTTCCCAAGAAAACATGGATACCAGGCAAGGATTCATTCACAAGTGAAGACCGAAGCAGCCAGGAACCTGGTAGTACGATTAACAACAGCAGAGGGGAGTCCAAAGCAGGGTGTGGGCTGTATCAAGGACAGACCGGCCATGCTTGTGCCAGAAATGTAAGATGCGGCAGGGGGCTAGCTATGGCGAACACTAAATAAACATAAGAAAAAAATTATAGATTTTTTATTTTAATGTTTACTTATTTTTGAGAGAGAGAGAGACAGAGCGTGAGCAGGGGTGGGGCAGAGAGCGAGAAGGAGACACAGAATCCAAAGCAGGATCCAGGCTCCGAGCTGTCAGCACAGAGTCCAATGTGGGGCTCTACCCCATGAGCCATGAGATCATGACCAGAGCTGAAGTGGGACGCTTAATGGACTGAGCCACCTTGGTGCCCCAAAGAAATAAATTCTATAATTGGCATCTGAGGACATGGTCGGTATCTGTCTTAAAGATGTTGTATCTGCTCTGTAAATTGAGAAGTAATTTTTGAGGTACCGAGCTGGCTCAGTCAGTTAAAAGTGCCTGACTCTTGATTTTGACCCATGATCCCAGGGTCTTGGGATCAAGCCTGAAGTCGGGCTCTGTGCTGACAGCATGTGGAGCCTGCTTGGGATTCTCTCTCCCTCTCTCTGCTCCTCCCTGGCTCCTATTCTCTCTCTCTCTCTCTCTCTCTCTCCCTCCCCCCTCCCCCCAAAAAATAAATAAATAAACTTAAAAAAAAGAATTTCCAACTTTCACTTCAATCCCTTCTCGTTCACTCTTGGTGAGACGGCAAGTTGGGGCAGCGTTTGGCCTCATCCATCAGGGTAACCAGCGTGGCATGCTATTTGACTCTGTATCTGTTCTTCTGTACTTTATCTTTTTTAAAAAAAATGCACACTGTCAAGCTGGCAAAGATGTTTGTGCAAAGGTGACCGTTTTATTAAAGAACTAAAATGAGTTACAGAAAAGAGTTCAGCTTTCAGAAGTTTTTGGATTTCAGTACCCCGTTTAAGGGGTTGCAGATCTGGTTATACAACTCTTTTAAGTTTGGCAGGGACAAACTGTGAAGTGGAAAAAGTAGATTTTAGGGTAGTGTGTACAGAATGATCTCCTTTTTTTTTTTTTTAAGTTTTTTTAATGTTTATTTTTGAGAGAGAGAGACTGACAGCATGAGAGGGGGAGGAGCAGAAAGAGGAGACAAAGAATCCGAAGCAGACTCCAGGCTCTGAGCTGTCAGCACAGAACCCGACACGGGGCTCGAACTCACGGACCGCGAGATCATGACCTGAGCCGAAGTCGGACGCTTAACCGACTGAGCCACCCGGCAGTCCCAGATCCCCTTTCTTTGAAAGTAATAGTTGTCGATAAAAATATATGCACAGAAGATCTAGAACCATACACAAAATTATCTGTGGTCGTTATGGTGGGTGGACAGGTCACAGTGTGTGAGAAAACAATCTGCCTCTTACAGTCAATGATAATAGAGAACCCCACCCTCTCTCCAGGGTCACAGACACTGGGGGAGCAGGAGGTAGAGAGGTTCTCAAGTAGTGGGTTCAGCTTGAGAAAAACATATCATTAGAAGGTAAAAGAGATTGTCTTTTCATAACAATATATGAGGCTTGTGTCATCATTATAGATGCTTACAGTTAAATGCCCGTCTAACTCAGGTGTATTCATTTATTCATTAGTGTCGCAAATACGCGTTGAGGGCTTACTGTGCATGAGACACCGGGCAAGGCACTTGGGCCATACAGCAGTGACAGGACAAAGGTGGCCTCCAGCATACAGCTAGAGGCTCAAGCAGACAGATCCAATTGTGACTAGGAAGCCAGATGAAAGTATTTTGTTTAAAAGGATGCCTAGCAGTGCCTAGTTCAGAGTGACAGCGCTTGGTATTACAGTGAAATTGCACACCCTCAAATGTGTTTGAGTTTTCTTTCGCTTCAGTTTTTTACTTCATTTTACTCTCCGAGTTGTGTGTTTAAAAATAGAGGTTTTTTTTGAGGATGATTCGTGTTTCAACCAGGAAACCTCTAGGAAAGGTTGCCTGCCTGGTCTGTGACAACCACCCACATAACCATCAAGTGGCTTTCGTTTCTAACTGCATCCCTGTGTCCCAGGTTGGCACTGTGGCCCCTTGGTTTGCACAAGGAAGAATCTCTAAACAATATGTTAATGCAGGTAGATGGGTAGAAAGACGGAGATAGGTAAGTCTGCATATAGATACATATGCCTGTATATATTTTTGCCACCTGTCCACTCAGATGTTTGTGTTTTCTTCCACAGAAAAAGCAAAGAACAAAAGATCTCTCTCGGGTATTCCATTCTTACAATCCGTATGATCACAAGGTAAGAGAAACATGTTATTCGTGTATTGGATAGATGTCTTTCTGAACATAGAGCAGAAGCCTCACTAGTACATAGCGATTCTGAAGTACATTTTCCGGTTATGTTTACATTTCCATTTTAATTTGTCAACTCTTTATCTCTTCTAAAGAAATCAGAAAATCTTTATTTCCGAACTAATGTCATTCTTTTTTATTCACATTAAAATGTAGTTGCATATTGTCACTGAAATCTCAAAGTCGATGGAAAGACAGAACTGGGGGTATTATTTATTTGGTTGGGGTTTTTTTTTTCCCCTTCCAAACACTAAAGTGATGCACTTGACTTTTGAATTGGTAAAGATCGTTGAAATAGGAACTGCCGACTGTTGGTTTTCCATTGCTCCTGGTAGAAAGTTATTTCTTTCTAAATAAAATCCCCAACAATGAGCAGTATATCGCATAATATCTGAAATACCCCCTGCCAAAAGTTTTGCCTTCTAGAAGACCAAATAGCGTCACGACTCCTCCGTGTTTGTGCCCCAGCTTTATAGACTCATGGCCAGTCTTGCTTCATTTATATCCCATGTTCTGCGCTCCCCATGTTTGAAGAATTCCCGAATATCTTTTTACTTATAAGCACTTCACCATATAATGATAAAAGATAAGGGCTCTTTAAAACACACACACACACACACACACACACACACACACACACACACACACACACATTTAACTGTTTCTGAAGAAAATGCTCCACACCACATCATCACAGGGAAATATATTACAAGATTTCCGAGACTTGTGCACAACTTCTATTTCATGTAAGGTTCCAGTAAATCTGTTAATTCGAGGTGATTTCAGAAGCGAACAAAAAATTTGCACAGTTGAAATGCTAATATAAACTTAAATCCTTATCTATGAATTTACAAGGAGACATGTGGTGGGGATTTTTTAACTAGCCAAAATAAGTAGTGTGAAAACTATTTTCCTCAGTTGAGAATACGGGAGATGTCTGGATTCAGGAGGAAAAAATTGTGCCAGTTGTTCATGGAAGTTGAAAGATTTTCAGTAGCTTCTGGTGTTTCTATAGTGACCAGTTGACTTTAAGCACCAACAGTTTGTGAACGAGGTGTTTCTGCTTCATGTGACCATGGCAATATACGGTACTAAAAATTATATCATTTCAAATTACATTTTTCAAGTTAAACCAGTCGCTTTGCAGAATGTGGCAATTTGTTTGAAAGACATGGAGAGAGCTGTGAGTGCCTGACAAAGGGGAGAGAAGGTGCAGGCTGATAAGTAATACACCAGCAAAGGGAACGAGATTCCTGATGGGAAAGTTGCATTTTTTCTTTAAGATGAAGCCATTTAACATAAATGCAGCAGTGGGTAAAGTTAACATTTAAGAACAAAAAAGGCTGTGACAAATCCAAGGTTTTGCCTGACTCGTCTGAATTTTGCCCACTTCTAACATTTTTTAATTCACAGTGAAGGGAAATTCCATTATTCTTTTATTAGAGCTCTTAATGGAACTTCGCCATTTGCAGCCTCTACCGGCTTCCTCTTCATATCCTTTGTGGCATTGTATCAAAGTCACCTCAGATTATTTTGGCTTCCCTTGTGAAGACTTCATTCCTCTACAAATTAGTCACTGGGCAATGAGGAATTGAATATATAAATGCTAGATGGAGTGTTCCTTTTGATCTTTGCTTTCAGATCGGTAATAAATTATTGTAAGGAGCTAGACTGCTTGATGAGTGATTTTTGAAGTTCCAAAGGTTTGGCCTGTTGGCATCCTGCTGTATTCTGCATGTGTAGTGACAGAAAAGGGGAAAGTTTCCAGGCGGCTCCTGCCCCTTACTTGCCGCCTCCCTTTTCTCTGGGCTCCATCCAGGGCAAGTCTACCCCGGTCACTTTTAACCTGGTCTCCTGTTGATGGGTGTTTACAAAGACTAGCATCACAGGGACTGAGTAACAGACACTGCTTTCTCAGTCTTAGAATGTACCTTTTTTCCCCACAAATAAAATACAAGGGGGTTGCCTTTCCACTTACTTTGTCATTTTAATTACCCAGTTATATTCAAACAAATTAGCTTTCTAAGCAGATAGGTTTTAGCTAGAACATTTTGTAAGATGTGGTTAAAGTTGGCTTAAACACCTCCTGTTTGGTGAGATTTCTGTAGTGATCTTTGGGTTAAATACATACATGCATTGTAAATGAAAGCTCGTATAAAATAAAATATAGGCTGTTTGCGATTTA